CCGAACCTAATTTGAAAGGAAACATGTAGCAGCTGGAGGGGAGAATTAACAATTCGGTCACGGGAGTTAAAGGTTTAACTGTGCGTGACATTATGCGGCAGAAGTGCGTAATGAGCATGTGACAAAGCTAGATATCGTGCTGTACATAATTATGGCTCTCGTCAATATCAAAACCAGCTATTATCTCCCGAAAACAAACGAAGTTTGAAACAAACTCGAGGTTGAAGAAAAATATACAAAATGCCTACGTTTCTTTTGATATCGTAACACTCGCGCTATATAGTAATAATAACGGTTATATGGTTGTCGGTGAGATACCAGAATTTTTTTCAGTTTCCAAAACGTGACATCTCCACCGCACGCTGTAAGCGTACCATTTATATCTTCATATATAAAGGCATAAATGTCGTCATGATAACCGGATTAATAAACATGACAGTTTTACTTTCTATGTAGGCTGGTTTTTTTTTTAATTTTTTTTTTCATCTAAAGCTAAATTCAATTCTTTTTAAAGGAAATAGTTTTTGTAATGAGAAATTGTTATATTCCAATTTCCGAAATTGAAGTGGTTTTCCGGCGGGCTGACTTTCGGTGCAGTGGATCTCTGTATTCGATGCTCCTATATAAAAATTGTATTGGATTCAAATTTTCAATCAATATCTTTTGAACAAAAAGGATGATACATGTCCACTACGTATCTACAAGGTGGTTAGTAGTATCATTTCTAACTGGTTATCTGTCAGAGTTCGGTTTTAGTAGATATACCTTTTCGCGCAATGACGTACTAAATGGGCACAATGTTTGAGTGTTTACATCGTGCGCTGGAAGATAAAACTGTGAGCTCAGTAAATGCTGATATTGGAGCAGAATCCTGTTCTGTAGGGCAAGACCACCTCAGCAGCTCCACGAAAATTTCCTAAATTTCCCAATCACTACTATATTGCAGAAGATTCTCTTTTGATTAGCGATTCGTTCACAAATAAGTTTAAAGTTCTCTTTTGCCTTGCGATATCGAAATGTGTTTTTTAGTTTCATTTCGCTTTCAGTCTACTTCCTCCGCCAAGTGCTCATTTGGCTTGGCAATGAATTCATTCGATGGCCTACAAGATTAAGCTATGCAGAAGTCTGCGTGTTGCGCTTGGCTTTCAATTTGATGTAGCTAAAGTTTCTTTAAACAAGAGTTTTGATAAAAAGGTAGTTCCCAGTGCCATCTGCTCCAGTCCCTCGGAATAATCTCGTATTCAGTGCCTTTTTTGAATTCGAAATGAAAAATTCGGGTCCTTCCCCAAAATAATTCGGTAAAGGGCCAGCTACTTCCAGTTATTCAAAATTTCCTGGCTCCTTCAAAAAAAAAATGAATGGAATATTTTATTTACTAGAACTTATGAATTTGTTAAAGAACCTTTGTCCAACAATTTTCGATAGCCTGGAGGGAAATTTTACAAATGCACTTTGTAGAAGAACAGAGATCTTACACTCGCTGCCACGGGTCGATAAACGTGTTTCGTTACGCAATAGGCTCGCGGGGTGTTGGTAGTATTCGTGACGGTTACGTAAACCTTCGAAGGTGTTTCGGGCTTGAATAAGTTTTGCGAATTCTCCCAACCCCACACGCGATAAAATGAAGAAATGGGAGAAAGAGTCTTTTATTGCATAACATTTTATCTGTGTTTATCCATGCCTACCGGGTACAATTAGGTTGTTTATTGCAACTCACGCATTTTGATAAGGGACAGCCTTGAACGACGTTTCATTAGAAAAGACTAAAAAACAAACAAGCAAACAAACAAACGAATGAAAAAAACAAACATGACACAACCCGCTGAACTTGACTGGAGCTGTCACGCAACCACTATAGCGTGACGGAGGAAACTTTGAGATTCTCATTCATCTTCTATGATTAAGTATACAACGTTTTCTTTAAGTTACTTTCATTTGAGTCTCCTCTTTTTTATTTTTAACGATGTAGCACAGTGCAATCGATTCAATTTTATTTCTAGCTATGGCAGAAAGCATCCTCCCAACAACGGGAGAAGAACTGGAGGTGAAAAATGAGTTTCCAGCTACAGGTAAGAAAAGGCAACAAGGAAAGACTTCTTTATGGTAATTATGTACTGTTTGTTGATTAAGTACACCCTAATTCTGGTGTACAATTTTTTGATCACTTCGACTTGAAGGTTTTAGGAATCCACTAAATACGCCAGTATTAGAACGCTAGTTGTAATCGCACATAGTTGTGATCACTAACAAAGTTGAAATATCTTCACGGTAATTTCAGCGACAGAGGAAAGTCAAGTTACGTCAAGTGACGCTGAACTGGATGTAGACGATGACCTTTTAAGAGGTGAGAAAAGATTTTTTGAGAGAAGTCCCAGCGGTGAAGTTTTTTTCACATTTACACCAAAATTTATACATTTACATCAAAACGTTCTGTGAATAAGATTTTGAAACAGCAAAAGATTGTTTCTTCAAATTTCAGACTTTGTTACCGGTAAAATAAAAAACAAAGGAAAAAACAAGTCGTTGCTCGGTCAGATCGAGCAAAATGCTTAGACATCATCAGTTATTCATAAGCATTAAAGCGACAAATTTGAAGGCGACTTAGCTTTGAAGAGCCCTAAATTAAAGAAGAATGGGCCAAAATTAGCCTACTGGGCTTTGTAAAACCCAGTTTTTTTAGTTTCAGAAGTGCTTACTTGTAAATCAACACACAGTGTTTTGGAGATTAACGATGTATCTACAGTTTGCACCTAAAATGGAGGTTCTTTTGCACTTGAAAATATTGTAAATTTGGTCATTTTTATTATGAAAGTCAAATTCGGCAAGAGAGAACTGTTGGTATCCGTAGACCCGTCAAAGTGGAGTTTTGAAAAATTTTGCAAACAGACAACTTTTTGAGGCCGCCAAAAGGAAAGTATTTGCGCTAACACATTTTTGTCCCTTATTGTTCAGTACATGTTTGGCAGAAATTTTACGCAATTTAAGAATTCTACATAGAAGAGGAGGCATTTTGTCTCGGCCGTATCGCCTGTTTTGGTCTTCTAAATATTTCGCGCCTCTTCAGACAGTTATGTCAACACCAGGCCTACGCTGTAAACCACCAGCCAACAAAATGTGGAACCGCTGACTTTCGCAACAGGCAAAATGGCACTTCGCGGGAAAGTGATACTTTCCCAATCGAATTTCTCCAGTTAGCCTCTTCGAGTATGTTCTCAATAGACAATTACATGTATGAGAAAAACCAAGTGATAAAGAAAAAAAGACAAAGAAAAACTTTTTTTCTGGCGCACTTTTGTCAACGCTGGTAAAACCACGAATTCTTGTCACTCTTAGACTCTCAGTACGATGTTTTTTTTTCGTTACCAGAACATTCTTAAGTTTTAACCTTTTTCGGTCCTGGCTTTGCCTTGCTTTTGCAGTAACTTATGGGGTTTGATATTCTAGCATGAAATTTTGGAAAACGTAACCCAGATGTAAAAGGGTCATTGGAAAGTCTCTCGACCTAAATGTAAACCGATCAGACTTGATGTGGTTATAGCCAAGCTACAGCTAAAACTCCAAATAGCTTGTGTATTTTAAAGAAAACAAAATGCACAGATAAACTCTCCTGAAGGGCGATTGTAAACAAAGTTGAGTTAAGATAGGATCTTCCGGTGAAACTTGTGATATTTTGGAAAACGTAAGCCAGGTGTAAAAGGAGTTTGGAAAGCCTCTCGACCTAAATGTAAATCGATAAAGTTGTGGTAATAGCCAAGCTACAGCCCAGACTCTCAGCAGCTTTCACACAAACAAAATGTACAGATATTAACCTTTTCTGGTTGTTTTTTCTCATAGCTCTAAGCTCCTTTAACCTAAAAGTTCATTTGAATATATAAAGTTGGCATCATCCGTCATCTCAAGGGTCGTATCACTCATTACTAAATTATTAACACTAAAACGTTGTGTTTTCAGAAATAGCGAAAGTATTTCTGGAGAAAGGTAACAAAGAATACAAACAAGGAGAAGCTAATGACGCAATAAACTCCTACACGGAAGGACTTCAAGTGAACTGCAAAGATAAACGGCTGAACGCCAAGCTTTACAGCAACAGGGCAACAGCTCATTTCCGTTTAGGTAACAATTTCATATGTAAACATATAAATCTGTCGTGCAGCGTTACAAGATAACGGAATACACAATCTGCATCAAGAAAAGGAAAAAATTGAGCAAATGTAGAGCGTAAAAACATAAATTGCCCTGTGGTGGATGAAAATTAAGCAAATTTTGTTGCAATTCTATATGATGACCACTTTTTTAAGCCTTACTTCCTGAATCTCATAGCAAACTACGTGGAATGTCTCGATGATGCAACAGTTGCCGTTCAATTGGAACCCACTTTAATCAAGGCTATTAAGAAAGGTGGGTTTTTCAGACATAATCCATCAACATTCTATTCTCTGATTTCGTCAAAAGAAGATTGTGTGGTGTATGGCAGGTAACTGCAACCCAAGTGTCAATTGTATCTGGTGTGTCGATGTCTGCGATGTGGGTAAAAAGGATAAGAAAATGTCAATAAGCTCTCAAATACGGCCGCCTGTTTAGTTCACGTTGTAGAGCGTCGGAGGTCGAGGGTTCAAGCCCTAGACCGGACCATCTCCCTGAGTCTTAAAATATCTTAGGACAATGTGCTGCCGCCTAGGCTGTGACATCTGCAAATGGTTTGATATTCTAGTCCCGGATAAGAACGGAAAACCGTCAGCCTTGTTTCTTGCATCTTCTCTGTAACTCAAGGAGGCACCTGAAAAATTCCCTTTCAAAAGTTGTAAACCACTCAATGCAGTTTACCCGAAAACTTCCCCGAAAAGTGCTGAAAAGCGCATAATAGCACATTAAAATGAAGAATGCGCGCGATACATTTATCGTTATCATCATCAATTGAAGCTTAATTGGTAGCTGCTTTCCATTAGCTTCTTATTGTTTATTTTCAGTTCTTTCACGAGTTCAAATTTCCTTCATTATCACAATTTTTGTTCCCGGCTAGATGGGAAATTAAGTCCATTTTATCAGTACGTTTATACTTTAACAGTGATGAGTTACTTCGTACCACCAATTATTCTCTCCTTTTCAGGAGCCAGAGCTTGTGTCGAGCTTTGCTTGTATAAAGAAGCAAGGAGCTGGTTGCATATGGGATTTTCCGTATCCTTTAACGAATGTTTCAAGCGTGATACGAGATGCAATGCGAGTAATATTTCAAGGGAAATCAATACTTTCCGGAGAGTCTTCAGCACATAATGGAAACAATGTTCTCTTATACTGCACTGAGCAGTTTCAAGAAGCTAAAATACTCTTAAAGAGTTCTTTCGACTATTCCACGAGACTTTACTCAAAAGAAGAGGCCATATCAATTAATTCCCAGAGTTTGGGCTGAATATCCCTCATTTTTGCCCTCAGACGAGCATCACCATGACGACCGAGCCTAAACCAATAAATGCGCTTCAGAGCAAGTTAAAACTCTCCACTAACTTAAAATCAAATCTCTGAAAAAGACCCACGTTCGAATTATCATTCCAGTTTTAAGGTTCTGTCCAATACTCTCACTGTTTTTGTAAAATACAAATTTCCACTGCATTTTCGCAAATCTGCTCATGATTTATCGACCCTTAACACATTTTAAGATTGAAAATGACAACAAACGTCTGCTTCAATTACTAAGGAAAACTAATGCTGAACTAAAAGTCATTACAAACAGTTCTTCCAATCTCGGCAACGCTTATCAAGGTCTAGGACAGTTCAAAACAGCCATCCAGTACCATCAACGTGATCTAGAGATTGCTAAAGAAGTGGGAGACAAGGCCGGAGAGGGAGGAAGTTACTGCAGTCTCGGCAACGCTTATCAAGGTCTAGGAGAGTTCAAAACAGCCATCCAG